AGAAAATGTCAATTTAAAAAACCTGTTTAATAAAAATATTTTTTTTAAAAATCCCTCAACAGAGAGAAAATGTCAGGCGTGCCTCCATCAATAACCAAGGAAGAAAACTCCTAATTCCATTGTTTGTGGAATTAAAGATACTTTTACTGGTCATGAAAAGATAGCAGCGATAGCAGTTCTGAGCCAAAAAGGTGCGAACATGTACATATCAAACTTTTACTCAGCACCCTCCCCCCAATCACCCCAACCCAATGCTCAATCTGCAGCTCTCAGAGGTGTCATGCGGGTTGCATCTTGAGAAACCTCATTCAGATGGTATGGAGAGACGGTTGACCTTGACTAAGTCCAAACATAGGCCATCAGCATGCGCAGAAGATGGTGAGAACCAACCCCCCTTCTGATAACTCCTCCAGGACCATATGTTTCCCATCCCAAATACCTCAAGCCCCTTCCCTCCCCGTTTCTAGGACCCGGATTGTTGGGGGCAATATGCTGACTCTGTAAACCGCTTAGAGAGGGCTGAAAGCCCTATGAAGTGGTATATAAGTCTAATTGCTATTGCTATTGCTATTCTATGGCAGCCGATAGCAAGCAAGTAGAGGCTGACAGAAACATTGTTAGCAAAGTACTCTGTCCTGGAGTGAACCTTTAAAGGACCCTCTTGGGGGTGAGGGTTCACCTAGACACACCCCCATTAATCCATCCAAGAGTTGTGCCAGTTGGAGCATTTGGTGAAGGGGGACATCAAGAGGGATCCTCTCCAAGGCTCTGGTGTGATCCTGTCATCGGCCTGATCTTAGCCCTAATTGCCACACCTTCCCTTTCTCCAAGATCTCCCTCCCTCTGAATCCCATCCCCATTTCCTGTCACCCTCATCCAAGACACAATCTGCCATATGGGAGTCAGTCCCCCTCCCTACCTCCTTCCCCCGGGAACAGTTGGGAAGGAGACTTTCTGCCTGCAGGCATAGCCTGATCCGGGGGGGGGGGGGGGTTCTTCCAGCAAGCGGGAAGATGCTTGTTGGGATGGAAGAAATATTTAGATTATATACAAGATATGCAACAAGGAGCAAACTCCCCAGAGAGGTACATGGGCTTGGCTGGAGGGGAGGAGGAGGAGGCAGATGAGAGGCACAGAAGGACCCAGAACAGAAGACCAAGTTGGTTAGTTTAGATGCTACGTGGGACTGACCACGTCCACAGCCAAGAGAGGAGAATTGGGGGAATGCAAAGGAGGACACCGCCCCCGCCCAGACCAGGCTCTGCCTGAAACTGGCCAGCCTCCTTTCAGCTGAAAGAACCCACCGTTCCCAGGGAAGGAGGTGGGGAAGGGTCTGATTCTATCCGAAGGAAGAGCTTATCCCCCCCTCCCATCTCCGACCAAATGATGAATGAGAGAAGCACTTTTGAGGGGTCTCTTTTGTGCTGTGGAGGATCCACCCTGGTGGCCTTTGGTGGGATTCTGAGGGAGACCGCCCCTAGACCAGGCTCTGCCTTGCAAGCAGCCGGTTCGGTTCATTCCAGCCGAAGGAATCCTCCGTTCCCAGGGAAGGTGGTGGGGAGGGGTCCAGTTCCAGATGGCAGTTTTCCCAGGATGGGGGCAGCAGGGTGTGTGGAAGGGATGGAGGAGATCTTGGGGAAAGGTGTGGACAGATGGAGGCTGAGATCAGGCAGATCCCAGGATCACCTCAGAACCTTTTGACAGGATGCCTCCTGATCTCCTCCTTCACCAAATGTTCTAATTGGCACGATTCTTAGATGGATTAATGAGGTGGGTCTGGGTGAGCCCCCCCTAGAGGGTCCTTAAAAGGTGCGGGGCAGCTCCAAGCACTTTGCTAACAATGTTTCTCTCCGTTGAGGGATTTTGTTTACTAACAGTTAATTCTATAATGCTGAAGAACATTAAATTTGTTATTTGGAATTTAAAACAGGGATCTAATCTGGTTGCCACCCAGACAAAGAACATTTCAGGTGTGGGTTGTTGTTTTTTCTCTTCATAATAAGCCCATTTGCATCTTGGAACATTAAAGATCTTTGTGGAATAGCCAAAATGAAGGCAGTGGCTTTGCAGAGTGAAAATTGTGACTATTTGTTTGAACAAGAAATGCAAATTATGGATGAGAAAAAATCTTTTAGCAAGAAAATGGAGAGAGTAGATTTGAATCAGTGGAAATTGAAATTTTTTAACTTGGCATTTTATTAAAAACAACCTCAACTCCTATAGATTTATAATAGGTAAACAAACAGATGGCATTAATCATTTTTATGTCCTAATCCAAAATTAACCTAATTTTTGACAGAACAGTACTGATAACATTTTGAGGCTCCAATTTGATGAGATGGGAGTTGCTGGAGAAAGATTTTAATTCACTTCTGCATCCACTAGTGAATCGGAAGATTTTTTTTCTTTTTAAAGATTCCCCCAAAGACATAACATTCTCCTTCTGTCCATCCAGGAATGGACAAAGCCCTGGTGCCTGACGTCCTAAGCCCGGTATGAGTCCTCAGTGGGTGGTGCCCCTATCTGCAATTTCAGCTCAAGCAGGAGATCCTATACCATTACAGGATCTATTGATATTCCTATAGGATCTATTTCAGACAAGTGGCTATCCAGTGTGTGTCACACACATGACTCATGTTTAAGTGATCATCCATTCGGACTCCCAAGGTCCCTCTCACAATTACTGATTTTGAGCCAGGTTTCATGTAATCTGTTTTTCCTGCCCAGGTGTAAAATCTTACTTTTCTCCACATTAAGTTTCATTTTGTTGGATTCAACCTTCTTTCATTTGGATCAGAAAGGCACAATATGCATAAACACACAAATCTATAGAGACACGGTGCGTCAGTGATTAGAACGCAGTACTACAAGCTAATTGCCCACAGCTAGGAGTTCGATCCTGACCAGCTCATGGTTGATTCAGTCTTTCATTCTTCTGAGATCACCAAAATGAGGACCCAGATTGTTGAGGACAATATGCTGACAATATGTAGACTGCTCTCAGAGTATGATGAAACATTCTGGAGTGGTATGTAAGTCTAAGTGGAATTGCTATTGCTATATAGTTTCTCCCGAGGGTGGATCCTTTTATGAGAAATAAGACCACTATTCTGAGCAAAACTCTTTCCACATTCCATGCATTTATATGGTTTCTCCCCTGTGTGGATCATCTTATGGGTGGTAAGATTACCTCTTTGAGCAAAACTCTTTCCACATTCCATGCATTTAAATGGTTTCTCCCCTTTGTGGATCATCTTATGGGCGGTAAGATTACCTCTTTGAGAAAAACTCCTTCCACATTCCATGCATTTAAATGGTTTCTCCCCTGTGTGGATCCTTTTATGGATAGTAACTTGCGCACTTCTTCTAAAACATTTTCCACATTCCAAACATTTATAAGACTTCTCTTTTGTGTCAATCACTTTTTGAGATGTAAGGATGGTTTTTTCAAGAAAAAGAATGATTGTTCCATTGTAATTTTGTCCGTTGTGTCTTCTTATAGCATCTTCTCCTTTGTTTTGGGTTAAATAGTGTTCATTTACTTGTACTTTAGCTTTGATTAGATTCACATTTTTTCCAATATATTTTTTCCTTATTTTCTCTTGTTGGGCAAGAAAGTCTTGCATCGGAGTATCAGTGAAACATGAGCTTTCCTGATTCCAATTCTTCGACTGGTTTCTGTCATGGCTTTCAATTTCCATTTGAATTCCAAACTTCTCAGTTCCATCTTTAGCACTGATCACTTGGAACAGTTCACAAGAATCTTGTTTCTCCTGCCCATTATTACCTTCAAAGCAAAAGGGAAATGAAAATAATAACAAAGTTAGAGAAAAAGGTGAAACTGTAGAAAGTCAAGTGAATTTCCTTCTGAATTTCTCCAAAATTCCATAGGTTGTATGTTAGCATGCTTATAATGGTATGATATAGATATGATGATTTCTATATTTATGAATCATGAAAGCTTTGAAAATATCTAGAAAACAATTATTTTATATATATATATATATATGTGTGTGTGTGTGTGTGTGTGTGTGTGTGTGTGTGTGTGTGTGTACATATACATATACATATACACATATATACACATATATATATATATGGGTCTCTAGTTGTTCGGGTTTTCTCCCGCGTAG